ACACTTGTGGGAGGTGGTGTCTTTAATACCCTTCTCTGATGCCGTAGAGGTTGGATCTTCATACCGTCACTACATTTCGCATGTATCATTAGTAGGAGTTCGGGGTATTGGTTTACAGTGGGTTTAGCACCTTTTTTTTCTTTTTGGCAGATGGGCGTTTGCATATCGATATCCTGGGCGGCGTTGACAACAAAAAGTAAGGACTGAGCTTTGAAAGAAAAGAGAACACACGTTACGAGGCCATGAAATTTAGTGTTTTACGCAATTGTATAAACAATGTACTTTAGAAGAAAGAGAAATATAAGCTACAACCATCAATGTATTGGTTCATTGGTTCTTGTGCCCGAATATATGAAGGATAACAGCAATTGGTTTAGGCTCATTACACAAAGTTCCCTCAAACGCTACGCTCCATACAGGCTCAGCCTAGTTTTTTGTATTGAGCTTTGCACGGATACACATTTTCGATTGAAGTACGCATCACTTGTGAGTTTCAGGTTATCCCGTAGCTAAGTAAGGTAATTTAGATGCCTGCTGCTGGAGGTGTGGACAATCATGTTGATAGTAGAGTAACTGGCCATTGTAGTAAATCCGTTGGCGGCACGTTCCAGGGCGAACGGAGACACGGATGCACGTGCCTGCGCGACTTCCGCCACTCTCCGATTCTCCTCCTGTGAGCTCCGACAAAAAAAAAAAAATTACTTCCTAATTGGCATTAGCAACCTCATTCTCCAACCGTTGGAGCGAACACCGCAAAAATGAGGGCATCCGGTGTCGCCAGATGGCTCAATTGCCGTCTGATATCGTGCTCTCCGCAGACGAGCTGTGGTGCTCGCCATTCTAACATCTCTGTTGCAGCACCCACTTGGGAAACTCGCCGAGCCTTCAGTCAGACCTTCTTGCACCGGAGCGCTGCACAGGAAGCGTAGGAATAATAACCGTCCCCATTGACTTGATCTGCCACTGATTTTGTGCTCTTTTTAGTCTCCGAAAAGCTCAAGAAGATGCAGCCAGCTTGACACCCGAGTTTGTTGCTGCCAACATGGATCCCGAAGAGGCCAAGCGACTCTCCCGAGTTCGCAATATCGGCATTGCCGTACGACAAACCAATTCTCTCAATGCCGTCGTGTACTAACGCAAGAATTCTTCCCAGGCGCACATCGATAGCGGCAAGACTACCGTCAGTGAGCGAGTTCTCTTTTATACTGGCCGAATCAACGCAATCCACGAGGTTCGAGGCAAGGATGCCGTCGGTGCCAAAATGGACTCAATGGAACTTGAAAGGGAAAAAGGCATCACTATTCAGTCCGCTGCGACGTTCTGCGACTGGAAGAAAATGGAAAACGGCAAAGAGGAAACCTACCACTTCAACCTGATTGATACTCCTGGTCATATCGACTTCACCATTGAGGTCGAGCGTGCCCTCCGTGTACTCGATGGTGCTGTCATGATTTTGTGTGCTGTCAGCGGCGTTCAGTCCCAGACCATCACCGTCGACCGACAAATGAAGCGTTACAGTGTTCCCCGACTCTCCTTTGTCAACAAGATGGATCGAATGGGTGCCAACCCTTGGAAGGCCGTTGAGCAGATCAACACCAAACTCAAGATCCCTGCTGCTGCGATCCAGGTCCCCATCGGTGCTGAAGATGAGTTTTTGGGTGTCATCGATCTGATTGAGATGAAGGCCATCTACTTTGAGGGCCCTCGTGGCACAAAACTTCGTACCACTGACCAGATTCCCGGTGCCATGCAAGAGCTTGTTAAGGAGAAACGACAGGTCCTGATTGAGAAGCTAGCCGACGTTGATGACGAGATGGCCGAGCTTTTCCTCGAAGAACAGGAGCCTACCAACCAGCAAATCAAGGACGCCATCCGACGCGCTACCATCGCTCTCAAGTTCAGTCCTGTCATGATGGGCTCCGCCCTCGCCGACAAGGGCGTTCAGACCATGCTCGATGCTGTTTGCGACTACCTTCCCAACCCTTCTGAGATTGAGAACACTGCTTTGGACAAGGTCAAGGAGGAGCAGACTGTCAAATTGGTCCCTTACAACTCCCTTCCCTTTGTCGGTCTCGCTTTCAAGCTCGAGGAGAACAACTACGGACAGCTCACCTACATCCGTGTTTACCAGGGCAAGTTGACCAAGGGTTCATACTTGTTCAACTCCCGCACTGACAAGAAGGTCCGAATCCCTCGAATTGTGCGCATGCACTCCGACGAGATGGAAGATGTCTCTGAGGTTGGTGCTGGTGAAATCTGTGCTGTGTTCGGTGTTGATTGTGCCTCTGGCGATACCTTCACTGATGGTGGCCTTCCCTATACCATGTCTTCCATGTTCGTCCCTGATGCCGTCATGTCTCTCTCGATTAAGCCCAAGCGAAGCGGCGACGCCGACAACTTCAGTAAGGCTATGAACCGGTTCCAGCGTGAGGATCCCACTTTCCGCGTCCACGTCGACGCTGAGAGCGAGGAGACTATCATTTCTGGTATGGGTGAACTACATCTCGAGGTTTACGTGGAACGTTTGAAGCGAGAGTACAAGACCGAGTGTGTCACTGGACAGCCTCGTGTTGCCTACCGTGAGACCATCTCCCGACGTGCCGACTATGACTTCCTTCTCAAGCGACAGAGTGGTGGTCCTGGTGATTTTGCCCGTGTTGCCGGTTGGATTGAACCCAACGATAAACCTGATGAGAACCACTATGAGAGCCAGGTTGTTGGTGGCCACATTCCCGACAAGTTCCTCTCTGCTTGTGCCAAGGGTTTCGAGGCTGTCACCGAGAAGGGCCCTCTTCTAGGACACAAGGTTATTGGTGCCAAGATGATTGTCAACGACGGTGCTACCCATGTCACTGATTCTTCTGATTATGCATTCAATCTCGCTACTCAAATGGCCTTCCGCAAGGCCTTCCCCGATGCTGGTGGTCAGGTCCTCGAGCCTCTCATGAAGACCACCATCACTGCCCCCAACGAATTCCAGGGTAATATCCTGATGTTAATGAATAAGAGAAACGCCACTATTCACGACACTGATGTTGGTACTGAGGATTTTACTCTCATTTGCGATTGCAGTCTGAACGCCATGTTTGGCTTCAGCTCCCAGCTTCGTGCTGCTACACAAGGCAAGGGCGAGTTCAGCATGGAATTCAGTCACTACGCTCCCGCTCCTCCTCACCTTCAGTACGTTTCACCCAGGATGACACATGTATTAATAAAAACATCACTAACAAACTCATAGGAAGGAGCTGGTTGCCAAGTACCAGGCCGAGCTTGAGGCTAAGCGCACCAAATAAAGAATTAATGTTGACGTGAGGGCAAAAAGTTATGAAAGTTAAGTTTTTTTTTTCAGCACACGCACTTGCTGAGCAAACTGCGCCGTGCTGTAGATTACGTACGCACAGGATGTGTGTATGATGTTGTACCATATTTATCATGTTAAAGAGTCATAAAGTGACGTGAAGATGTCAACGACACGATTGGTGGTTTACAGAGTCAAGAAGCCATTTAATGACGGTACCAAAAAAAATGAGAGAGTTGGTTAGATTAATCCAACATGTATAAAATATACAAAAAATCCCCTCTAGTCTGTTGCATCTCTCCTTTTATTTTGAACAAGGTATCATCAATGTCCCAACGGTGGAAATCTGATGGCTAGCCGCCTTATCCATGGCCTCGTATTGTAAGGCTAGGGGCTAGCTTACAGACGTCGAAGGATGTCAGCAACAACCTCCTCAGTGCTAGCAGAGCCGCCCAAGTCGGGGCTCAACAGCTTGCCCTCCTCAAGGTTAGCATCAACGGCTGCGTAGATCTTGGCAGCAGCAGCCTCCTCGTTGAGGAACTCAAGCATCAGAGCAGTGCTGCGGAGAGTGGCAATGGGGTTCGCGATTCCCTTGCCCTGGATGTCGGGAGCGCTGCCGTGGCAGGGCTCTCCAATGGCGAAGCCCTCGCCGACGTTGGCGCTAGGCACGAGACCGAGACTTCCAACGAGAGCGGCGGCACCGTCAGAGAGGATGTCGCCGTACAAGTTAGGGGCAACAATGACATCGTAATCCTCTGGCTGACGGAACAACTTGTAGACCATGGAGTCGACAATCTGCTCCTCGGTGTTAAGGGAGGCGTACTTGGGATCGGCGAGGGCCTTCTTGGAGGTGGCGCGGAACAGGCCGTCTGTCTGGGACAGAACATTGGACTTGTGGGTGATCGTGACGAGGGGCGACTTGTGTATGCTGGGGGCACCAGAGTCACGGAGCTTCTGGCGGCGAAGGGCGATGTCACCGGCCATGGATGCAATACGGAAGGAGGCTTTCTCGGAGATGCGCTTGATAGCCTCGGCAACCTTGCCCTCGGGGGTGTCTCGAGTGGTTTCCTGCTTGACGTAGAGATCTTCCGTGTTTTCACGAACAATTACCATGTCAATGGGCTTAGCGGCGGTCATGACGCTCTTGACGGGTCGGACATTGGCATAGAGGTCGAGTCTCTTTCGCAGAGCGACAATGGGTGATGAGTAACCCTTAACAGCCTGTGTGGGCGAGCTGACAGCGCCAAAGAGGGCGCCATCGCACTCATTCTTGAGGACCTCGACGGTCTTTTCGGGGAGCGCAGCACCTGTCTGCTCAAAAGCTTCGAAGCCAGCTTTGAGGTCGACAAAGTCGAACTTGAGGCCAAGCGAGGCGGGGAGGGCTTCGAGAATGCGGCGACCGGCGGGAATGACTTCCTTGCCGATACCGTCACCAGGGATGAGACCTTGAAAAATTATAAGAATCAGCTAATCCGGGTCGATGGAATTGAGTAGTGATGAAAACGTACCGATTCGAAGGGTTCGGAAAGACATGGTGGACGTAATTGGGAACTGCGAAGTTGCAAAAGTTTTGTTTGAGCCGAGTATCGGAGCTTGAGCTCAGCTCACACTTGGGAGGAATTTCTTCGCCAAGAGGGACTCAAACGTGGGGTACTAAGCGATATGAGGAAAATTTTGTTCAAAACTTGCATCAATCAGCAAAGCCCCTATGGCCTAATGGTTAAGGCGTGAGACTTCTAATCTCAAGATTGGGGGTTCGAGTCCCCCTAGGGGTTTAACTACGCAGCTTTGCGGCGTTAATATCCTGGTGGTTAAGAATGATCTTTTTGTGTTTTACACTTGCTGGTTTCTCGGTAACTTTTTGCTCTGTCATGCATCTCATCAGTCAATAAGTATGAGTGAGGGTCAGACAGTGCGTGGGAAGGAAACCCAAGCGATAGGCAGGGAGCTAATAATTGTGTCTGTAGACCGCCAATTTTCCCAATGTGAAGGTATCTTTTCTTGCTAGCTAGCTTGGAACGTTCCTACGGGAATAACCCCTATTTCCTCGGGCCGACTATAGAGCCGGCTTGCTGGTCTGCTTACAGTGTCCCTCTCCTACCCTACATTACATTTTGGCAACTCTTTGAGGACTCCAAGCCAATGCACCACGATTGATTGTACACTACCAATCCTGACTTCTCGAGTGTATGTATTTTTCTTTTTTGTCGTGTTGTTCAGTGAATACAAAGTTTTGTGCAATGAAGCGACATGGCTGACGACTTTCGAGATAGAGAGTTCACAGCAGAGATTGGAAGCTGGTATTGAGTTTGTGTTTGTACAGTAGCGGAATATTGATCATGGAACATCGTCTCGTCAACAGTCACTCCATTCGACCTCACCTTGCCAACCGGGTTTTCATTAACATGACATATCACTGGTTTGCATCAGTAATAACCAACCCGACACAAATGCAAACGGTCTACACAGGAGACACTGCTTCAGCTGGGAATAGCATTCCATTGCTTTCACACAGGGAGACGTGCGAACTGAAGCATATAACATGTTTTGCCATGAGTTCATCTTACTGTCTTCCAGGATATTTTTGCTGTTCCACCACACAGAGTCAGGAGTATGGGGTAGCGGATGAATCACAGAGAAAAAAAAAAGCTTGATAAAATTAGAGCTCCTGTTACTAATTACATGCAAGTGTTTCCAACATGCGCCGGAATTCTACGCCCTCTCCACGTGCTCGTTTCAGCCAGTACTGGTGAGGAGGGAGAACGGGACCTACTGTTCGCTGGGCAATCGATGCTTTTGGAGAAACAGGACCATCGTCAGCGATGTGACACTGCTGTCGGGCATTGGCAACTCCTCGCTGGCTGACATCGCTTCGGCCCAGCTGGCCTTGTTGGCTGTACCAGGGTAGGTTGGAGATCCGAAGACTAATGCAGATGAACAGACGGGGCCCTTGCGGAAGGGTTCTTATGATTGGGTATTATTATTTTTGGACATGCATCATGCATGACCCTTTCTTTAAATACCCTTTTCGACTGAATATCAACTGTGCTGCCAAGCTGGACTCTGTGACGTATGGTCTTTAGTCCAAATACAATATTATACACACAGGCGCCCAGCAGGTGGCGCGCTTGGTAAAAGCCCCCCCAACTTCATCGCGTGGCGGTACTCGAAGGCGCCCTGTCGAAGTTGTTGTCAACTTATGTGCGTTGCCTGGACGTCCGACTCCATTGACTGATGAGCTAGGCGGCGAGTGTCCATCCATCCAGGGCGTTACGAACTGCCAGGCGAGAAATGGTATTTTGTCACCTCGCCAATTAATTAGCGAGATCCATGATGAACTCGCCCCAGGCAACCCGACACGGTGGGCCAGAGCTTGAACCATTTCGGACGTTGTCGACCAGGGCCTGCCCCTTCTAGGGATCCATCAATCATAGCTTTCCTTCGTCTACTTGCGGAGGGGAGAACTCTTTGGTGTCCAGTAACTTCTCCTTGGAAGGGTTGGTTTCTACATAATCAATCATTACTGTACATAATACCCAACTAACTTTATCAAAGTACCTATCTTAGTACGTAAGGAAACCCCCCGAAGCAGAGAGCATCCACGGGAGGACCGAGTGAGGAAGCTCGAACGAGCTCAAGCATGAAGTATGTTATATTATCCCCGCCATGCCCGTGCTGTGTTCCGGTCCCACTGGGACGCACTTGAACCTCCTCTGTACGGATACAATCAACAATTAGATGATACGTATTTCAATGGCTCGACTGCATTGAGCCCAACGGGTCTAGGATGCGGAGGCATCTCATTTCCTAAATTTTGGCGATTGTACCTCTATACAAGTACTGTACCTCCTTCATACATTTCAGAAATAAGATGGGGTAAAAGCAATACCGCCCACGTGTTGGTAATGATACCAGCCTACAGATTTTACACACATCCCCATCCCCTTTTTATTATTATAACCGAGTGTTATTTCGCCTTTACGCCATCTTTCTACAAAGTGATTGCTGTGGTGTACTCAGCCTCGATGGATGCAAGGTATTCTATGTTGTACTATTAAAAGCTCTCTGGGGTAGAGGTGTTCAAGAGATGACAGGTGTGCGTGCTCTCTCGGCGGGAGTGTGAGAGGGTGATCTAGTTAGGTAACTACGTACGTGGCACTCTTGACTTCCACAAAGCATTGTCCCCCCATCCCCGTTGTCATGTCTGTTCCCTCCGCATCGTGCATTCATTGCAACGGATCCACTACTTCACTTTAAAGGCCCTGCCAGCCTATCCCTACCTACCCTACCTCTCAGGTACACAGTAGTCTTGTGGTACCTTACTTTGACCTTACCGAGCAGGGTACTTACCGCGAAAGGTACCCAAGTACCCGGCCTCATTGGACCCAACCCTGCTAGAGCTTCCTGGGCCACTTACCCCTAACACAGGCTCCCTGAGGGCCCCCCCCCTTATTTTGCTTCTGGAACAACACTACAACGAACCTCGAGCAAGTTCCCCCAAGTGGCTCTTCAACCACCTCACCTGAGCATTTGTGTATAAGTGAATTAGGGCCTGACAGGACAGGCAAAAAGGAGATGAGGGCATGAGATATGGCAGCAAGGTACCTGTACTTAAGCTAGAGCTATAGCGACCTTCCTCTCCAGGCAATTTCTACATCATATAAGGCCGGAGAGCAGAAAGCATGCCATGTCTTTCTGGGCTGGCACATCCATCCTGCGCGCAGTCGTTTCGTACCTCACCGACCTTACCTGATATCCATATCCCTGTCCAATGTCGACGAGAGGTACCCGCTTCTGACGGACCGCCTGGCCTTATCCCATCAAACTCCACGGTGGGCATGTGCCTCCTGTGGCCCATTGCCGCCTGAGAGCTCATAATCAGACAATCTCCCGATCCCAACCAACACCACTACCACCACCAACCACCATCAACACCATTGTGCTGTCATCTCACACTGCTTGCTGCTTGAGCTTCTGGACGAAGCCCACCCCCCGTACGGACCTCACGGCATCTAGCCTACAGGTCCTCCCCTCTGCGCCGTCCTGAACCTTCCTCTCCCTCCAGTCTCCGCCGTCGTTCAGCCACCATGAGTCAGGTCAAGAACCTCCGCGCCATGTTCGAGAGCAAAGGCGACACCAGCCCTCCCGACAGAGGGAGATCGTCAGGCGCGTCCACTCCCGTTCCAGGTACGACCGACAGCCTCCCCGAAGCATTCTACACAATTTCCTGCCCGTGTTTTTTTTTTGTCGAGCACATCCACACGTGCACCATAGATGCTTTTTTCTGCTCTCCCCATTTTCTCTCTTATTAGTGCTTCCCTTTCATGCAAGGGGTTTCGCGCCCTCTCCCTCTTATTCTCTTGACTGCCGAGCAACACCCCAATACTAATTTCTCGACCACTCTTCAGCTTTCTCGAGCTCCGAGTCCCCTCGACCTCTCTCCAAAGTTCGCACAAACTTCGTTGCTATCGAAAAAGACGGCAGGATAGGCCTTCGAAGAGACCAAAGCCACGAATCCAGCGCGTCAAGACGGAGGTTAAGTATGGAGACGGATCCTGAATCTACTTCAACAGCCCCAGACAAGCCTGTGGTGGTTTCCAATGATGTACCGAAAGTTTCCAAGCTTGTTCTTCACGAGACTATTCCAGAGTCACCCCGACAACCTTCCGAGACCGAGACCAAGACCAATGATGCCCCCATTGTTTATGGGAAGCCTTCCACTCCTGTGGACGAGAAAGCTGAACCGGCACAATCTGATCCTCCTGAACCTGTAGAGGCGACGTCGGCAGGGAAGACAGCGAAGGTATCAGAGCCTCCTACGGCAGTCAATGGTAAAACCAGACCAGAGAAAACCAAAGAACCTGCCTCATCTACCCCTTCAAAGACTATCGCGTCTAAGAAGCCAGCTTCTCGCCCTACCCCAATTTCCACAAACAAAAATGCCTCCAAACCTGTGGTAAAAACTCCTTTAAAGACACCTCCCAACGCATCAGACAAGGGAGTCTCCAAACCAACAGCCAGGACTCATGATAGACCTGCTATCAAGAAGGAGGCTACAGCCGCAAAACCCTCACCTTCTGCTCCTCGCCCAACAACTAGTACCAAGAAGCCTCAGCCGCTTAATCCTTCAATCAGCGAGACCGGTTTCGTCAAGCCAAAGGTTAAATCTCCAACGAAACCTGTCAACCTGCCTTCCTCTCTCACGGCGCCAACTGCATCATCAGTCTCCAAGGGTGCAAACGCACGACAGGGTCAAGCGCGCCCATCTGGCAACACTAGCACTCTCAATGTTCCGCCTCGTTCTGCTAGCAGAGCGAGTGTATCGACGACCACGAGCAATGGTAAGACGGTCAAGCGTCAGCCATCATCCATCAGTCGATCGAGGCCCAGCCTGGGTCCTCCCCCAAAGAAAACGGCGGGGGAACCCAATTCAAAGAAGGAAGCGGCCCCAGTTGATGAAGGTTTCCTTGCACGCATGATGCGACCTACCCAATCCTCTTCCTCTAAGACGACAGACAAAGCCCCTCTTACACCCCCTAGAAAGGTTTCAAAACAGTCGTCGACTGGCAGTGAGCCTCGATTTAAGGCCCCGGGAAGCGCTAAGAAACAATTGAGGCGGCAGGTCGAATCACCTGCCCACAACAAGGGCAACAACACTGTTTCCGCTGATGACTCGAATATCTGTCCTGTGCCTGACATTATTTCTGAGCCTACCATCACCACCGAATCAACTGGTGAAATTTCTGAACACAACCAAGACGCTGAACCCAGCTCT